GGCGCGTTTAGGTGAATTTTCCAGCCTGCTCTGGCTTCGCTGTAGTGGAAGGGGGAGGGCGGGGGTGGGACCGTGGGAGCGGCACACAACAGCGAATGTGTCTGGGGGACTCGGCTGGTCCTGGGCCCGCTGGCTGTACCTCCCTGCGCGTCGTCTGCGTTGTGTGTTGGTGTCAGTGGGAGGGTGAGAAGCATGGATGCTGGCAGTTCCTGTTCCTACCTGATTCGAGTGCTTTTCTTCTCAACTGTATTCGGCAGCGGCTTTTCAGCTCCAGTTGGGAGCCGACTCTCCTGGGCTAATCCCCTCACATCATCACACTCGATTTTCCTGAGAAGAGGAACAGTATGGATCCGAGAGGCTACCAACGCAGCCCGTTACACCAAGGGTGGCTGCGCACGCTGAGTGCAGAACTACTGCTGTCTGGCAGCTGAGGCTCCGCGGCGCCGTTCGAGCTGCACCAGCGGTGCCAAAACTGCTTTTCTGATGACTCTGAAATTGAAAACAGGAAGTGAATCGCTCACTTGGCTGCCCACCTAATGTGAGGAAAGAGATACACGCACCCAGGGGAGATGTCGCTTTTCTTGCAGGACGTTTAGACCCCACGCAGAATCTGGCAGCTTCAGCTGAGGACCAGAAATCCGTGGCACACCTAAAAACGGGCCCTGAAAGGGCAGCGTGTCGGTCAGCACACTCACGTTGCAAAGACAAACCCCGAGGTGCTTCAGGACGTGACTGCAATCGCCTCGATGAAGGTTCCCGCAGCAGTCCCTGGCTGTCTTCCAGCGCCATGAGATCACTGGCTGAAAAGTACTTCCTGAGCTTTCCAAAGCTCAGAGCAGATTTACCCCTTGCTGCAGCTGGCTGGGCTGCAGAGCTGCAGGGGAGGATTTGCTCAGGCTCCCGTAAGCGGAGGGAAGATACTCCACGTCCTGCTCCTGCCCTGCCTGCTTCCGCTCCACAACAGTCAAACGCAGGTTTTGGCACCGGAGGAACCTTATACCAGGAAAGTGTGATTGGTCTGCTCCGCCTCCCTGCCCAGCGAGGAGAGCAGTAAATCTCCTACTGCAGTGCTTTGGGCACGCACTCACCTGACGGCTAGAACTCTCTGGGAGCTCTCAGCAGGGTCTACTGCTGCGTGCCAAGGACCTCTTCCTGCTGCTGATCTTCCCCTGATCATTTAATGGCTCCCTCAGGTTATGGGATGGAGTCACTGAAAACGGGGCTCACCTTCCTCTACAGCAAAAAAGTCCAGTCTGCAGCACTTCATGGCAAGCAGGACCTTCTTTAGGTGCCGAGTTAGTCACCGAGGATGAACCACGGATGACAATTCCATGGCCACTGTCAATGGCAAAGGCATCTTCTTGTTCCTGTGAGCCTGTGGAACAGGAGCTGTGGCTCTCCCTGTGCCTGCTCCGGGCTCACTGCTGCTTCCCGCCCCGGCAAACCTTTTGCAGGGCATTTAAACATCAGGTCCTGGTGTCTGCTCCGGGCTCACTGCTGCTTCCCGCCCCGGCAAACCTTTTGCAGGGCATTTAAACATCAGGAAACCCCAGGGAGCCAGGAGGAGTTGGGACCAGCAGCAGTAGCTCCCTGCGTGTGTACATCCCTGAGGCACACTAGATTTTCCCTGCTCTGAAAGGCCTGTGGAAGGAGGGAAAATGCAGTTGTAGGAGTTACAAGTAAATCTTCTCCTCAGCCAAACACCAAACCACCCGCAGTTTCAGCTGCACCACCACCAGCCACCCATGGTCTCGGTGATTCCACTAAAACTGCATCCCGGTCATTTAGCAGCAGGAAGCACCCGGCACCTCCTTCTCCTGCTCCAGACCTGGCGCGCCCTTCCCTCCCTTCCCTGCTCGCTCCTACCAGTCCCGGGGACGCGAGTGTGGGCTGCGTCCCTTCGTGAAGCACAGTTTCTCAACCGGTTTTGAGGAAGAAAGCTTTTAATGAGCTACGTTTTCTCCCCGTGAGATCTCGCACATCATTCCCTGTCACTTCTGCTCCCATCTCCGTCTCACCCAACATCTGCATCATGGCAAACCATGATATAACACGGCATTTTCTTTGGAGGCTTTTCAATTTTAATAAATAAGTGGTACAACGGTGCCAAATCTGTGCGTCGGGGCTCGAGAGACAAGGCTGGTGTTCCTGCAGCGGTACTGGAGGACTGGTGCAGCCCCGGGGCTGGCATTTAATCCTCTTTAGCTTCTGTGGATGGGTTGGCATCCCATTTAACTCCAGGGAACCACTGCTGCCTTGCCAGTTGCTCTCTGGTAGGAAGCTGCTTCCGCAGGAGAGCGTAAGAACTAAATCAGGGCATAATCCCTGTGCCTTAATACCATCGTGCGTGAGTCACCCCGACAAATTAGGTAGCTGGCTGCATTACTGCTCAGCAATTTAGGATTCACGCTTGACAGGAGAAAACATTGCAGGGACTGGCCATCCTCCCTCGATGAGACGTGCATGGAAACGAGACAGGATAAGGAGCCCTTGGCTTGCCGGCGGTCACTGCCGGGCAGGGTGCTTTCTCCAGTTGCAGGTTTGCAGTCGGGTTTCTGTGGGACTTGAGGCAGAGCACTTCTTCCTTTCAGCGGCACCCCTTCTGCGTGACCTTGGGCACAATTTGGAGAAGAAACTGCGCTGAGGGATCGAACTGTCCCCTCTCCGTGTGCGTGCTCGCTGGGTGTGCTCTCACAGCTCAGCAGAGGACTTCTTCAGACTTTGTGAGAATACTTGAAATAAGAGGGGTAAAAAAAAAATAGTGAGTCCGCTGACTTTTAATCTTAACTCTGCTGCCTGTTACATTTCCTTTCCAGGGACAAGTAGTGAGGTACACTACAAAATACCCATGTCTAAGCAGAAGCCCCGGCCGTGCTCCCGGAGCAGAGGAGAGGGCACAGAGCTGCCCATTTCAGAATTCACCCTCCCTTGGTGAACTTCTGGCATTTGTTGGTTAGGCACGGGGATTTTACCGTGTTGCTCTGCTAGCAAAGGCTGTAACACAGACACCATTACTGCCAGTGCACTTTCTGCCATTATTGTAGTTTACCCACAGAGCTGCCAAAAATTTACACACACAGCCATGACAGCATTTTGCTCGGGCTTACAGCTGGAGGGTTTCCCAGAAAATCTGTATCACTAGTGCTTTGCAGGACAGCTATTCTTCCCTCTTCTACCTTCCCAGCACCATTTGTCACTCTGGGAGGTAGATTTATGGTAGCCCCTGCTCTGCTTTGGTCATTGCTCTCCACCGCATCAGGCTCAGTCATTATGGCAGCTTTGCTGAACGTGTTGGGCCAACGCTGCCTGTTCCTCTCACGGCTCTGAGGGAGGTGGGCACTCCCCCCGTTAGACGGCAGACAGAGCAGTCTGGAGCCCCCAGTGCCACAAAGCCACCCTCGGAGCAAAAAGCGAGGCCGTGCTGTGACTAACGCAGAAAAGCAATCCCCTCCTTCTTGAGATTTCTTTGTGGAAGAGGAATAAACGCAGGTTTGCTTATAAAAGTTACCAAGAGAGCAGTTCTCATTTTTTCATGGGTAATTTGCCTTCCTTCTCTCCAGATGCTTAGCCAACACAATGCCTGGCTATTCCATAAACACCCTCCGAAAAGAAAGTTTATCTGAAAAAAACCCCAGGTTTCTCTACACTCCCATCAGAAACAATCCATTTTTATGGTTTGCTCCAGCTCAAGCGAAGAGGGATGCCTGGCCTCGAGGTATCGCTGCGGCAGGTTTCTCAGGCCGGGGGTCCCTGTTCAGCTGCATCCTGGCAGGGGCTGGTGTAGGGCCATGGGGAGCGGTGGGTGTCCGTGGGCAGGGGAGGAGGCGTCTGGCAGGCTGGGCTGTGTTTGCTGCCGGCCGGACCACGTGCATGTGTCGCTGGGGAGTGACTTGCGTGCCAGGGGTGACACACACTGAATCCTTGACCAAATAGCACAACCTGCTTTGGTGCAGCTTCCCCTCCGGCACAGTCTGTCAGAACGAACACGGGTGGGATGGGCAAGTGCTGTAATGTGGAGAATAGGACAGCTGGGCTTTGCAAGGCGGGGACAACTCTTGAATAGTTTGCACGGCTTTGGGAAGATCTGATTTTGGGTGTCTGCCTACTGCTGGCACCCACAATTTGGGGAATATAAACCGCTGTAACTGGAGCTGCCAGCATGTGCCATAAGGACAATCCTGCTGGGTCTTTGCAGGTGCTCAGAGGGTAAAGTCTCAAGGAGGAGAGCGATACTGGTCCCAGTCCCTCTCCTGGCTGCAGTCCTAGTCCAGCCTGGAGCAGGGTGACCAGCATGTAGAGACATCACAGATCTATACATTATCACAGCAGTAGTTTATTTTCCTCTCTCCCAGTGATCCACATGTACTCGTCTGCTGAGAAGAGGCTCTACAAGGCCTCCGAGAGCCTTTTTGGGCTGTAACAGCTAACGCAGAACCTGTTGCTGCATCTAGGGCTGCTTTTCTTCCATGCACTGCCACCCATTTACTGCACTGTGCCACCCTCTCATCCAGTGCCATGCCGTCTCCCTGCAGCTCTCCACAGGGGCTTTTTACTTTAACTGCCTTGAGTCGTTCTTTATCATCAGCATCAGGATGCTGCTGATACGGGGGCAGGACACGTGGTTGTAGCGGAGCAGGGCTCAGCGGAGCCCAGGGAATCCCTTACACTGCTCAGCCTCCGAGCTGCACAGCCCAGAGGGGTTTTGGGGGTTCCTGTCTGCAGCACATAGCAGCGCTGCCTGAAGCTGCTCTGAAGTGGTTTTAAGTTCCTGTTGGAGGAGGGTGGCACTGGGGCAGGGACACGGGCTTTGACAAATCAGTCTCCACGGCTGGCGTTATCTTGGCATCGGCCAGAGACATGCCAAGGCTGCCCCTGCTCCCTGCACAGCCTCTGTGGGCTGCTGGGCACCGGCCGGCCCCGTCAGCCATGGGCGAAGCTCCAGCTAAGCTCTCCTACGATCCTCCCACCCCTGAAAAAACAATCATCCACTCGCTCTTTTTTTACCTTTGCTTTGACAGCGGGGCAGGGCCTGACGCAGGGGTCGTGTTGACGTAGTCTGGCTCATCATCTGGGCTTTCTGCCTGCAGGGCTGTGAGAGAGGGTGGGAGCACGGATCAGTGAGCGGGCTGATGTAGAACCACGCACCCAGCAGAGACACGCCGCGTGTCCCACCGGCGCTCAGCCCTCGGTGCCCACATGCTCTTGCGCCCGGGCTGGGAAAGCTCAGGTGACAGTGTCAAGGTCTCCTTGAAGGGGCTTCAGAAGGCTCACAGCAAGTTTGCAAACACTCTGCAAGCAGCCAGCGTGGACAGCGTTCCGGAGGCAAAAGGGACAGCCTTAGATTTAATCTGAAGTGCGCAAACAGGATAACAAGAATCAGTTTGCTTAGGCAGATCCCCACCGGAGACAGAAAGCTCTTAAATATATATATATGTATACTTTCACCACTATCTCCCAGGCCAGACTACCCTTTACGCTTCACAGGAAGCCACACGTTAGATTAAACGGCTGTGTAAAGGTTAGCGTAAGAAATGTGCACCCCGATTGCTGCAGAAGCGGGGCGAGCTGACCCACTGGATGTGCGTGCTGCACATTTCTCTGCCGGAGGGGATTACGAGGCTGAGCTTGCACCAGGGCACTTCAAAACATAAGAGGATATAAGACATGAAGGGTGACATTCTTCTGCAGCATCCCGTGGTCCGGGTTTGGGGACAGCATAGCGGTACAAGAAACACCACGTCCTGTCCCAGCAGCTTTCAGTTACACGTGTGTATAGCAATTTGTACATTGCCTTAGGTGTTTCCCGTGGACAACTGGGGAAACAAGAACTGAAGATGGGGCGATGGCTGCATTGCCTTGAGCGTGGTCAGTGCTGGGCTAGCATGAGAGGCACCCTGCCCGTGAGCCCCATCCCTAAATAGTAAACAAGTGCTGAGAACATACCTTCCACTTGCTGGACTTTCCATCTGTGTATCGCCGCGCTGTTCTCATAGTCGGTAGTGTCATCGGTGACTAAGAAGAGTTTGGAGAGGATGATGCTGAACAGCAAGTGGACTAAAAATGGACCTTTATGAAAACCCCCTCCTACCGCTGCACCCCGACTGCCCCGTGCACATGGTTGAGTTTCCAGCCGGGTGGCTGCTGTCTTGCTGCAAGTCGGCTGATGGCGACTCATCGCTTTTCCAGCCCTGACCTGTATATCCGAGGGCATGGATGTGGATCATGGTCCCCGCTGCTCCTGCCTCCTCTAACCACTCCATACAAAGCCAGTCAGGAGCAGGGCAGGCTTTAGCAGTGTAGAAAATGTGTTAATTTGCAGAAGGAAACCAAATTAACCTGTTCAGTGGAACAGGTTGCCCAGAGAAGCTGTGGATGCCCCATCCCTGGAAGTGTCCAAGGCCAGGCTGGATGAGGCTTGGAGCAACCTGGTCTAGTGGAAGGTGTCCCTGCCCATGGCAGGGGGGTTGGAACTAGATGGGCTTTAAGGTCCCTTCCAACCCAAACCAGTCTGTGATTCTATGAAACTGACTTCCTATTTTGAATGCAACATCCCAGGACAGAAGCTGGAAGCCCTTAAGCAGACACTGTGGCCCAACACCATCCTCCAGTTCAGTGGCTGCAGCCATTGTGGGCTGGACATGGTGAGAAACCTGAGCTGGGGGCTAGAACCACAATCTATCTTGGCTGTAACAGCAGAGGAAGACCTAGGGAAGCAATGCAGACCCCAGAGCTCCTGAATTGTTGCAGAGATCTCCTAATCGAAGGGATCAGCTCTGGACCAGTAAGTCATCACCAGGTGCATTTCCCTGCAGAAAGGGGAAACGCTCCAGGTCCGCTCTGCGCCTGCAGCAGCCCCTGCACCCCAGCTCCACCAGCACGGAGCTGATAGGAAGAGCCGAGCCTGCCAACGAGGGGGTTTTCCCTCGGCTGAGCAGGTCACCGTCCCTCTCTGCGCTGCCAGATACCTTTGTACCACACACGAACCACGACAGCAGCACACCTACCCAGTTCAGAGCCGTGAGGCACTCCAATGATGACGTTTTGATAGGAATTGGAATCCTCCTCTTTCTCTGGTGGAGAGAAGAAAGGGGGGGTCAAAGGGCTTAAGGGAGCGTAGGTGACCTGGGAAGATCCCTCAGCACTTGCAGGAGAGGGCTGTTCCCCACCACAAAATGCACGTTGGCTAAAAAATCGTTAGTCTTTGTGACAGCCAGCACCGACCCAGGGACAGGGCATCCCCGGCGCAGCCAACCCGGGTGATCGCTGCCCCATGGGAGCGCCATCACCGATGCTGTGCCATGCCAGCCGAGGCTCTCCGGCCACCGCACCACCCGTGGACGAGCAGCCAAAGCTGGTCCCGAGGCCCCGTGGCTTTGCTCACGGTTAGGAATAAAAAGCAATCAGCATAATCACAGCCCTACAGCAGCGCCTAAGGTGAAGAGGGGGAGGGCTGGCCCCGGGGGGAGTGAATCCCCAGGCTCCCAGCCCAGGTTAGCACTCAGGAGGGGGCTTCCCTTCCTGGCAGGTGTTAAGCTTGTGACTGTGGTGTCTTCTTGGGCTTATTCTCAGTTGCTGGGAAGTAACTGAGCCCCACTCCAAGCATGTAAAACCTAATAGCATCTAGAACCGAAACCTGCTTCAAAGAATTGAAAACCCCAAGCTCTTTGTTCTGTTGCTGGTTATTTCAGCTCTCTGGATGGGCCGAGAGCAGCTGAACCACGTGAGTCCCTATATTGCTAACCTCAAAACCTGCATCCAGGGGTGCTGACACCACCAGTGACACCCGTCCATTGGTGTGCTCATGGTACCTGAGCTGGAAAGGTTTGCAGGCAGGGTAAGCACTGCTGCTGCCCACCCCACAACCGACCGCGCTTCCCCAAAGCTGAAGGGGAGAAGCACGGGGCTCAGTGAGCCGACTGAGCTCAGCCAGGACAGGCAGTTCCTGCACTGGTGAGGGCTCCACTGCCTAAAACCACGCCGGGCAGGAGGGGAAGGCATTAGCCAAGCGAGCCACCCAGAGCAGCTCCGCAGTAGCTACACACTGACACTACCTCTGGGTAGTACTCAGCCACCGAAAAAGTAATAAAACTACAAAGGCATACAAAAACATTCATGGTAATACATTCAGGGTTCTCTTCCTCCCTTCTTGTTTTTAATGTTAAAATTTTTTGGGAAACGAAGTATTATTTCTTTTTTTTTTTTATATTTTTTTCTCCTTCCAGTCTCTCTAAATAAAAAATAGGATTCATGTTTTGAAATTCATTTTAGATAAAAAAAAAGGTTGCTGTCTGAGCACAGAAAAATGCTGAGCACCCAGGGGCCTGAAAACATCTCACTGCTGGAATATTTGCCCTGAAAGGATGTGTTTGAATGGAGCGGTGTTTTCATTCCACCCTCATTCACTAGACAAGCACACGAAGCGTTTGATGGCAGCCCTTTGTCAAAAAGCTTCTGGACAAGGACATGCCCTTTCCCGCGTGTCCGGCAGTACCCTGAAGGGCTGCAGCATCCACCACCCAGACCAGACCGAGCTAGGAACAGGAAAACGGCCTCGTTACACCAAAAGTTCCTCCAGGGATGGATGATTTGCTGCTGCCCAGGGACGAAACAGGGTGAGAACAGTGTGTCTTGTGCAATCAGAGCCACGGATGCGTTTGGGCTCTCCTGTTTATAATGAATGGATGGACTGACTGGGGCTTGGGCATCCCTCAATGCCCCACAGCGCCACTGCAGCTCTTAATGAGCTGACACTGGGTCAGAACATGCAGCGGTAATGCACAGACCGAGGTGATAAAAACCTCCCTGGAGCCACGGGCCAGCCGGGCTGGTGGCTGGAGAAGAAACCCATCTCGCTCGCATGGAGATCTTACCGTTGGGTGGTGTGAAGAACTGGGCACAGTTGTAGTAATCCAGAGACAGGGGCTCCCTGTGAGAAGGAGACCTGTCATTAGCTCCTCCTGCCCGGAGCAGCCCACGGGCTGCGCTGCCTGAGCTACAAGAGAGCCAGGAGCGCGCGGCCGCGCTAGGACCAGTATGGCTCCGCTCGCCCGCGCTGCTGGGCAGCGGCCGGCTACTTACACGTAGGCAGGGTCCCCTCGCAGGCAGTCCTCTGCAAGCACAAAGGTTTGCTGTCAGCACACCAGACCTTCACATGAACTCAGATCGCTGTCCCAAAACACAGCCGGAGAAACTCCCCAAGCACAGCGATAGCAGACACCCCCAGCAGCCAGAAAAGCCCTGGCATGGCTCTGGAGCCCATCCACAACCAGAGCCGGGAGGCTGGAGCTGGGGGAGGTGTCCCTGATCCACCCCAGACCCTGAGAAAACCAGGGCTCACCACTTCTTATGGACAGATCCTGCCAGCTGGCAGGGAGACCGGGAATATCCTCCCCGGTTTGGGAAAGGAGAGCAGGGCCCCATACGCCAGTAATCCTCTTAGGGCAAGTGCCAGCTCACGCTGCCCCGGAAGGGAGCGAGGGGCTCGCGAGCATCCCGTCCCCCTCCGCTCTCATCGTTAATCAGATCAGTGTGTCTTATAAAGCATCGGCTAAATGATCCAAGCCAGAGTTCTGCCAGCTGTGGGATGGCTGCCTGCGTGCTCCCTGCCGGCTCTCATCCCCGGTACCCTCGCATTGCCCCACAGCCTTCCCTCCCCGCACCCCCCGACGTGCGGCTGCAGCACTTACCTGTCAGGAAATTCTGATACCTGCACTCAGTCCTGCTCCCTGGGGAAAAGCAGAGGGGCACGTTACGCTCTGGCTCGGGCCAAGCAATGGGACCTGTTCCATGGTGGAGCGTTTCGGCATCAGCAGCTCTGCCCCGGCTCAGCGCTTTGCCTGGGGACATGGCTGCAAGACGGGACGCCCCAGGGCAGACGTGTCGGGACAGTCAGGGGTGATGTTTTAAATAGCCTGGCCTGTGGCTCTGACCAGGACTGCTCAGCCATTGCAGGACGAGCACTGGATTTTAAACTCAGACCCCGGCTAGTTCTTATTAAGCGTTGCTGCGTAGGCCAGCCACGAGCGCCAGGGGTGGGTGCTAATAACAGGAGAGAATTTTATCATTGCATGGCTTGTTTCCGGGATAGTCCCCGCCGTGCTTTGCCCCGAGCCCCAGCAGTGGGTGACCAGCCCCTCGGAGGCTCTGTCTTCCCAAAGCTGGTGGGAGCTCCCAGATGGCACCTACACAAACGAGCTGAGATCTGCAACATCCCCATTTATTAATTTTGTGGTAGGTGCTTCCCCTGTGGCTGCGTGGATGGGGAGAGCATTGACCCAGTGCCCATCCCAGGGGAGATGCTCACCGTATCCAGAGTGGCAAGAGGCACCGAGCTCCCTGGTGGTTTTCCTGAAAGAGAAAGGGGAGCTAAAATCCCTGTAGACAGGTCTGAGCAAACCGTACCAGGGGTTACAAGCCACAGCAATGACTAAACCAGTGGGGCCATCCATGAAACCTCCCTGTGATTTTATACAGGAAACAGATCAAGCAATAGGAAATGAAGAGTTTGGGGTCAAATCCCAAGATGGGAATAGCTATGCCAGAATCTGGCAGCAGAGTTATCGCAGCCATGTGGTTCTTGGGGGTTTTGGTGACAGAGAGAAAGAGATTTCTCGTGTCAAACCGCTCATGAGTGAAGAGTGGCCGTTTCTGTTTCATGATGTACCTGTTATGGACAGCCACAGCTCATTTCCTTGGGTGTGATTTAAACAGTTGCCAGTATGTCACAGTCAGACTGAAGAGAATCCAAGGAAAGACTAAAGCCACTCTGACCATCCATAAATTAAGTGTAGCCCAAGCCCCACCTCTAGGGTCCAGAACCCACCCCTAAATCCTGAACACATGTGTATGTAGGGTGATGCTCATCCAGCCCTGGCTCTGTAGCTTGGTTTGGGGCTGGGTGTTTTACCTACCTTGTTATCGGTAAGTTTTCAGGTTCCTTAATTTGTTCCAGCCGTCGGGCTGTAGCTAGTACCAAGAACAAAACGAGCTGTTAAGGATTACGGCAGCAGCAGATACTTCAACGAGCACAGAGCATCCACAGAGAGGATTCCCTGGCACTGGCAAGCATTTTTCTAACGCATCCCGCAACAGCTTCCAAATCATTCATGGTGGCCAAAATGGGAAACAAGTAGAGGAAAAGCTGGTGTCTGTGCAGACCTCAGAGCTAGCACACACACACCCGAGGAAGCTGCAATCCCAACCGCTGCTTTGTTTCCCATTCTCCCCCAAGCTCACTTGATTCGGGAGCCTTTCCCACACTCAGCACCAGCACGTCATAAGCTTTGGTTGGGCTGGAGCGAAGACTCGTGGGGGGTTTGTGGGGCTCAGACCCAGCAAGGTCCCGGGGGAAGGAGCGGCCCCACAAAGCCCGTCTGCAGACACTAGCATTTAGTACAGAGCCTGCCTGCAGCTGTTTCAGGATAAAAATCAAAAGGTCAGCGCCCAACCCAGCTTGCCACAGGAAGCAGTAAGGGGTGATGATAGATGAGTCACTCTTATCGATTCGGGTTCACCCACACTGTTGTTTTCACAGGCCGAACACAGTGGTTTGAAAAGCCCGAGTTCATAAGGCGTTGCCTTTCTGCGACGTTGCTTTGGTCATTTATTTTCAACGTGGAGGGAGATTTTTCCTGGACCTCAGAATTCACATCACTAGAGGTATCTAAGATGGCTGTGACAATCTTGGACTAATCTAATTTCACCACCTGTCTTCAAGGTGACCCATTGATTGTTACCTTCCCCCTGTTCTGTGCATACGGGAGCCCAATCCTGCAACCCAGAATCCCCGTACAATGTTCATACTCACTGGAACGGGATCGGATCACCTCAAATCTCTGCTGTCTTTCCAGCCTGGACAAAAAAATAGAGGTACAAGCTCAGGTGAATTTTGGGCTCTATGACAAGGAAAGTAGATGCATCCTCCCTGTTTGGTGAGCAGAGGGAAGAGAACACAGCCTCCAAGCTGGGCTTGGTGACACACCGAGGCTCATTGCTCGTGTCATCCAGGACCCACATGAGCTGGGAGCAGCTTCCCAGACTCCTCTTTGACCCTCTGAAGTCAAGATGGGTTTATGGACCACTGGCAGAGCAGCCAACATCGGCTAAGGGAAGGACCCAGGGATGAGAAAAACATAATTTCAATCAATTCCTACTCTGACACTTTCTGCACCACTTAAGGTCAGCAGGGCATTTTCACCCACAAAAAAATGGGTGTACACCCATGAAATGGCTTCAAACACCACTGTTTCACCTCCGCTGCCATCCCTGCTCCTGCCAACATCCCTTAACATCAGCCTGAAAAAATAAGAGACGTAATCAACAATGAAAATCACATACGTGCCCAGTAGCTTCTTTACTTTCCAGGTAACAGGAGAGCTGCGCTTCAGAGCACGAGAGGATTCAATGGCTCTTCTATGGTGGGTGCATACAGGCACCTACTAACTCTGACTTTGGTGCCCTGACAGTGTCCCCTTTTTCCCCTCCCCTCCCATCCGGGTCACCCCTGGTCCCAAGCTGCTATTGACAGCACGGGGCTGGCGAGGAAATGAGGTGTCAGGCGAAGGACCCCATTGCAGAGTCTGCAAACAGGCAGAATTAAACCACTTTGCTTGCAAAAAGCCCTAACTAACCCAAAACAGATCGCTAAGAGCGCATGATACCGCACGTCTGAAGTCAAACCACACAGCCCAGGGACAAATTTCAAGAATCTGGGACAATTCAGTACGAGCCCACAGGGGATGAAGCCTGTGATGGCTTTTCCATCGGTCTCCGAGGGATCACACCAAAGCCTTTCCTCCGATTCCAGGTGAGCAGGGCAGAAGCAAACACTCCGACCCCTCTGCACCACGTTTGTTCCTATATCAAAGGTTACAAGGCAACTTTCAATTTTTTTTTAAAATATCATTTAGCTGTGGTTTGTCTGTTGCTGAAGGAAATAAGGGGGCGTGCGTGTGTACAATGCATTTCCGTCATTGCTTATGCTGCGGGTCGGTGGTTGCTCCGGCACAGGGTCCCACCAACACCAGCCGAGGGCAGGGGCTTGTTTATGAACTCACCAACCTCTCAACTTCATCTTGGGGCATGACAGGACAGGACTTGCTCTTCCAATTCTCCCAGACCTTTTCCCAACTAGTTATTGACTCACAGGCATCATGGTCAGAGCTTCAGTTTCAGTTTGGATTATTCTTTGTATAATACTAATTTGGCAGCGCCCTGGGCTGGGGCACACTTCCCTGTGCACCCCATTCTGGGATTATTTAATTTTAAATCCAGATTTTGGCTGTGGGGCACGGAGCAGATCTGGCTCTGGCCAGGGTCTCACCCGAGGTGAGCTGTTTGGGGAAGAAACGGAATCGTGAAAGGCAACTTACTGGCTCCTCCGCTCACTTGGCTGCTTCTCTTGCTTGGTAGCTGGAAGCCAAGGAAAAAAACGCTCTTAGAAAAGAGTGATTTGGGAATTAAAGGTTGAAAAGATCGATAAAACACATTCACAAGACTCCTGCAGCTGAGAGCATGAGAGGATAGCGGAGGCAGCGAGCAGCACGTGCAAGAGGGTTCTCATTTATTATTTTTTAAACCACGTCTAAAGCACAGTATTTGCCTCAGACACCACCGAGCAAGCCATTCCTGCCCCCAGGAGCCCAACCTGCAGCCTCTCCCAATAAAACCCACCCAGTGCCCAGAGGTGGGCTTGAATCCCCATTTGGGTGGGTGCTCAGTCCGCTCTCTTCCCACTATACATGACGGGATCCCCAGCCTCTCCGTTCGTGCCTGCCCTCCTCCTGCACCTCTGCCCCCGTGCACAGGTAAGATTTTTGCATCTGAAGGGTGCAGGGTGTCCCAAATCCACCCACCACGGTGCCCACGGAGAAGGGTCTGCAGCCCATGGTGTTGCACCCACCCCAGGGAAGGGGGTCCATCCCACCCCCCAGCTGCTCTCTGGCCATCAGCTGAGACTCTTCCCAGCTCAAGCTGCTGGGAGCATCCCTGCCAGGACAAAGCTCCCCAAGCTGGCACAGGGCTGAGCAGAACCCAACCCAGATCCCCAGAGGGGATATCCCAAGGGGCAAGGGTCTGCCCAGCATGACCCCCCTGCCCGGCGCTGCAGGCAGGACCCCGAAGCACGCAGGCAGGAACTTACCGGAGAGCTGGCACTTGATGCAGAGGCTGACGGCGGCCCCGAGCAGCATCAGCGCAGCTGCCCACAGCAGCTCCAGCTGGGCCATGGTCCAGCCACATCCAGCCTGAAACACAGTGGTGAAGAGAACCCCGTCAGCTGCGGGGGCTGCCGCTCAGAAAGCTTTTACCCCACAAAATGCCACGTGCTCTCCCATCCCCAAAGAGCCAAGCGTTTGCTGAGGATGCAGAAGAGACTTTCAGGTTCTATTACCACGGGGCGGTGGAGGCTCCGGTCCGAGGGCTGCACACACACTCTCAGTGCCAGGAAGACCTGAGCACACCCCGGCGCTGAACCCCCGTTTCACCGTAGGGAGAGAGAAGAGACTCACGTGGTTCCCCTGAGGACATCAGCACAAAGAGGAAAAACCCACTTGGATTTACTCATTCCCAGTCCCGTTACCCACACTGCTGTCACCAAGCAGCAGCAGCAGGTACTATTTTTTAATATTCAGAAGAAAGGGTAAAAATCAGGCACGTTGAAACCGTCAGGGCTGCCAAGACCTTTGTACAAGGCTCTCCAGTTATTTCCCTGCAGCGCACAATTGCTTTAAAAGTTAAATTCCCCACACTTTCACTGTGTTGAGCTGGCTCAGACACCAGTTCTGCCCCTCCTTTCCATGACAGGCTCTTCCACAAACAGCAGCTAACATTCTGTAATAATCAGCATGATTTGGCTTCAATTTCTTCCTTTAAAATACAAACCATCCTATCAATATCACAGAAAACAGCCTGCTGGGGCTGGGACAGATCATTTAGCCCATTCCTATTCCCCGGGGCCAGATTTTCTTTACTTACAGAATATTTTAATTTATTTTTGCTTTCTAATAAACTTCTTTGGCCCCAGGGATTGAGAGCCTTCAGCTTGCCAAGGGCCAGTACATTGTGCTCTGCCTGGTGGGAAGCTTTACCACCCAGCCTGAATCTCCCGTGTTACAGTTCAAGCCTGCATTGTATTGGTATAACCACTGTGGATGGGCTGGGGAATATATATCTGAAAATCATACACAATTAAAATAATTAAAGCAATTAGGCAAATATCAATAACAGAAGGTAGAAAACAGCAGCTTGATTCTGTCCTGCTCAGCCCATTCTGTCTCCACTTGCATAAAATGGAATAAATAACGTTTCTCTGCCCAAACTGCACGCCACACCGACACCCCGTTGAGACGGGAGCAACCCCAAGGCCTCGTGGCAGCCGAGCCGCTCAGAGCTGAGCAGGCGTCCTCCTGCCCCGGCCGGTTGCTCGCGCTGCAGCCAAGATGCTGCGGGAGGTTTGCGGTCCAGTTTGGCCTTGTAGTCCCAGTTCCGTGTCCTGAATACCAGGGCACGGTCTACATCAGCGTGGGGCAGGGGGAGGAGAGGAGAGTCGCCCATTTCTGCTCCAGACTGCCCCGCGAGCACAGCCTCATGCTGGCCCTGTCCGGGGGGAGTGATCGGCGCAGGCTGGGCTGGGCTGCCTGCATCCTGCTGGCCGTGAGACCATCCCCTCTGGTGGGGGCAAACTGGGTTTATTTCTACTCCCTTCCATGTTGCCCGGGCTCACGAGGACACGGCACTCGCTCCGTCACAGCTTAGCTCTCTATAGACCCGCTGGGCCCTTTCCCTGCAGATTTCCTTGCAGCACTTTCTGAAGAAGTTGGACGGGTCCTTTCACATCAACGACATGCCCAGACCCCCACGGAGCCACCCCAGAGGCGCAGGACCCACAGCCACAGCCGGGATGTTGGGGATGGAGCCTGGGCAAAACCATGTGATTTCTCACATCATCTTTCCTTGGCTCAACATCCCCCATGGAAACCATGAGCTGTGGGTCATCCCCACAGCATCTGCCGGAGGCAGCTGAGGGAAGCTGTCCCCATGCTGGTGACCGGAATCTGCTTCACTAAGGGCTGTAACACGGCTGGGTTGTCTGTGGGAGGCTTTGGTTACTGGCTTTTTTCTTTCTCTCTCTCTCTTTTTTTTTTTCTTTTTCTTTTTTAAGTAAAGACGAGGCACAGCTGAAGGCACCTGACAACACTGACCTAGTTAATACCCTTGGAGGACAGGCCGCAGCTCCCTTCTAGAGCTGGCTTATTGCTGCCGCAGGGCAGTAACGCGGCAAACCCAGCTTTGGTTACTGGCTTTTTTCTTTTTCTCTCTCTTTTTTTTTTTTCTTTTTCTTTTTTAAGTAAAGGCGAGGCACAGCTGAAGGCACCTGACAACACTGACCTAGTTAATACCCTTGGAGGACAGGCCGCAGCTCCCTTCTAGAGCTGGCTTATTGCTGCCGCAGGGCAGTAACGCGGCAAACCCAGCCTGATCCCGATCCCGAGCCTCCCACTCGACGGGAACACAACAGGTTCCCTAAAAAAGGTCTGCTTAGCCCATTCCTATTCCCTGGGCCCAGATTTTCTTTACTTACAGATTTTAGTTTATATTTGGTTTTAATAAACTTCTTTTTTGGCCCCCAGGGGTGGAGATGCTTCAACTTGCCCAAGGCCAGTGCATTGTTGCGCTAGCAGGTAGGAAGCTTTACCACCTAACCCGGGTTGTTTGCAGGGGCTGCTGAGCTGTGCACCCCACGTCCCTCCCCATCACAGCATCCTCCACGGGCACCAAGTCCCCAGCCCAGAGGTTATTATTTGTGTTCAGACACCCAAGGCCATGGAAATCCTTTTTTCAGGTAAAAAACCTCTTGCAAGGAGATGATGGAAGGTGGTGATGAAGAGATCTATGACAAGCAGAAAGCTTGAGGCACTTACTTATGGCTGAGGGGATATAAATAAAATATTTGTAAGGCTGAACGTGCTTTCCCTGCTCTTCACCTTGGGGCGACAGCGAGGAGAATGAATGGGCTGGGGCCACGGAGGGCTGTGATGAGGTCCAGCCGCATCAGAAGGGTGTACAGTTACTGACTGCCTGACCAGCTTTGCTTTCAAGAGGCTAAATTCCAACACAGGGAGAAAACAGGTTCCCATCTAGTGTCAGCTCTTCAGGAGTGAAAAATCAAAATGCCCTCTTCATACACTTCTCTGTTCTCCTTTTTATGTCGTTTTTTTCCCCTTTCTGCACTGGCAGAAGTTTCTCCTTGCGGGAGGAAGCTGGTGTGTCCCCGGCGCGCGCCCCCGGCTGCGAGCACTGCCTGTGCACCCCAGCCCCCCAAAACCCCCGAGTAGCCACCCCCAAAAGCGACTCTGGGGAGAGGAACACGCTGGAGGCTGGGTGCAGCACGGCACCTCTCCTGCGAGGGGGAAGCACGCCTTTCCGACCAGTCTCCCTTCTCATGGCCCCAGATATTTTTAGCAATCAAAGAAACAAGCTTTTTTTTAAAAAAAAAAAAAGGGAAGAATGAACCAACTTGCAAAAGATGATCCAGTCTGTACACGCTAGGTCATCAGCCCAGCTGCCGGTGCAGAGGGTTTCTAGTCCTAAATTAAGGATTAAACCCAGTAACAGGGCTCACTATAAACAGCCAAGGGAAGGGGAGGTTATTTTACCGGGGAAGACTGAAAGGTCTCTTGCTTTTAAGTCTGCTGAAGCAGAGTGAGAGTACATGGCCATTCACTGTCAATCTGCCCGAGAGAGAAGCACAAAGTGAGAAAAGCTGTTTAAATTTAAATAAGACAATCCTGGCTTCTAGAATGAGTGGGTATAAGCTAGATATGCACAGGCTAGAAATAAAATTCCTAACGGATGGAAAGTCTGGAAGAACTTTCCGACAGCAGCAGAAGAGGCAAAAAGCTCACTTCAAAACCCTTTAAGAGTACTTAAAACGTACTTAAACATTTTGCCGAAAAACCAGGAAAGCGAGGAATGTGCTGATGTGGCATCGGCAAAAATGGCTGGTTTTCTGCAAGATCATTTCCGATGAAGTCGTTTTAGCCCTTGGCAGATGTCAAGCCCATCCCCAAAATTCACACAGCAAGATAAAGACCAAAATTGCAGGTTTATGTCATGTATGCATCCTATTTGTAACAAAAATGCCCAAAAGGCAAATAGAAGACAGTCGTCTCCCCTTCAGCAAATTTTGTGGTCTGCACCAGTTTGCAATAAATTAAGACTAATTCAGCCTGATTGGATGAGTCACTAGCCTGAAATATAAAACAGAGAGTTTATTTAAAACCTCTCCATATGAAGTTTAGCACACGGGCTTGTTGAACAGATGCAATATTCAGCTTGACTCAATGTCTCTAACATTTCTAAGAAAAGAAACGCACTTTCTGTTTGTCTGTGTCACACAGATTGCCGCAGAAAGTCCCATCCATTTAGAAAGCGAAGTCTCGGACAAAGGAATCTCCTGTGGTTGGAAGCACTTCAATGACCAGCATTGAGTCTCCAGAAAAGCTCCTTTCCAGAGGTCTGCACATCCCATTTCCTACCAGGTTTTATGCCACTGTAAGTTTTCTTAGGAAAGCTGCTGCCATATCAATCAAGTCTGGTTTTGTACAGCTATTCAAGCAGACCATGCTTTATTTTATACCAGGGGAGCAGTAGATGCATTTTGGTAGAACATAGGACAAGAGGGAAAATTGGAATTGATAAGTCAACTTTCACATAGATTATCACTTTATAAAATGCTTAAAAAATACCCCAAGTGGGAAACACAGCACAGAATCCTAATCACACCCAGTGTGCTAGCACAGGAGGTAATTCACAGAAATATCTAGTACTTGTCCTTAACTTGCTGTGTTTCAGGCAGCATCAAATCCACGCAGCATCCTTCACCACTGCCGCAGAGCCCAGGGGGACGCCACGTTGGAACTGCAGATATAGGCGACCCATACATACGTAACAAAGTACTCCTATGCAGTCCAGAGCAAGGAAACCAGCCAATATCACGCAAGATTATTACTATCCTGTTTCGCTAAGTCTGCCTCATGGCCCTTATTACACGGAACATTGATCACAAGAGAAAACTGATGCAAAGACGAAGCTCTTTTCTCTCTAGGAGTGGCAGTTTCAAGCACTTCCATGCAGTAGAAGAAATACATTCACATACATGACGCCAGTCAGCACCGAAATCGATGGGAAACCCAGAAAATGTAGTTCAAGTCAGCTATTTTATAGG